CCGGCCTTGAAATATCTTCTCCAAATTAATCAAATTCTGGAGAATTAATTCTTCCAAGCTGGGAAATGCATTGAAAGGAACCCCCTCCACTGATTTAATGATATGTTGAACCTCTGGAGCATTCTGGACATTGAGATACTTCAAATCTGGAAAACCTTCAGTATTTAACTCATCAACCACATTCTTTACACCTGCCAACTCCCTTAGATGTAGCTCTTCAGTCAGCTTCAACAACATTTTAACTAAATAGTTAAAACTAATGGATGCATTTAATTGCACCGTCAATGTTCTTGAGCTTCCAAAGGAACTACGCTGGTATTCCCACTTACATCCAATGAATATTTTGAATTTTTTCAAATTTTCAAAGAACAAATCTTTCGGGATCATCCAAATATCAGGAATGCATACCTCTAAATTAGTCAATTTCTTCAAATGCTTCAACTCAGCAAGGCCCGCATTTCTTTGACTTTCATTTTCCTGAACCTCCCATCTGTGGAAGCTGTTTCTCAGGTACAGTTCCTCTAATCTGGACATATTTGCGAAGACGCGTGGGGGAATTACTCGGAGTTTGGTACAGTTACTCAAATCTAACAACTTTAGCCGAGTCAACTGCCCAATTTCCCTTGGAAGCTCTTCAACAACAGCCCATGGAAGGCTAAGAATTTCTAAATTCTTCAGCTCTCCAATAATACGTATGTCCCCCAACACGCTGTGATGCAAACATAATGTGTGAAGGTTCTGCAAGAGGCAAATTGATGAAGGCAGGGATGACATATGCATGCGAGTCATATCCAATACCTTGAGTCTTGGCATTCCCTTAAAAAAGTTTGCTGGAATTTGCAGAGAAGGATGAATATCAACCAAACTAAAAAGAGTAAGCTGACTTTTAAACTCATCGGGAAGCTCATTAATATTAGCCTTTTCCAGCCAAATCCATTTGAAATCTTTCATTGCCTCCATGTCTGAACACTCTCTCGGTGCATGATCACCTGTTAGCAGCAACCCATGACGATCCCCACGCGCGATTGATACAGCTACATCCTGAGCAAGGTCATGCATATCAAAATAATCATTGTCAGAATCATCAATGAGCAAAGAAGAGGCTTTGAGCTTGCTTATCAAAGTAAATACTTCATCTCGTGCTTCCTCTATGGTGATAGCAAATAAGCCTAAGCCTACACCATACTTCAACAAGTCTTGAATTGAAGCCTTGTGACCCATTAGGCAGCAAAGCAAAAATGTTTCCTGCAGCTTCTTGGTTTCCAAATGAGAGTAACTGAACTCAATAGCTGAATAAACCTCTGCAGGTATGCCATGGAAGTTTTCCGAAGAGGGATTTCTTAGTTTTCTCAAAGCATCCCTCCATTGGTAACCCTCCTTATTTTTCAAAGCCTTTGCCATTGTTGTAATTGCAAGGGGCAAGCCCCCACATCTCCGGACAATCTCAATGGCCGTATCGTGTAGCTCCTTACTCTCAGCTGTGTCACCAACTATCTTTTTAAGCAACTCCCATGCTTCTCCAGAGTCTAATTGACGAAGTGAAAAGTTCAGTGGAGAATCCATCAGATGTGATAAAACATCAGAATCTCTGGACGTCAGCAGAATTTTGCATTCTACATGTTCTTCTCTTGGCAAGCTCTCCTCAATAGTTTTTGGCTCGTTTCTAAGAGGAATTCCAAGCTCCTCCAAATCTATTCCAGGCCTCCAAATATCATCCAAAATGATTAAAACCTTCTTCATTTTCTTCAGCTTTCTCTTAATATGATCGGCAGCCTCCTGAGTTGTAATTCCATTAGGAAGCTGATCTAGACCCAAGCCACGGGCAATTTCCATTTGAATCTTCTTCGAGTCTGCATTCTTTGAAACAAGAGCCATAACTACCACATCGAACAGGTTGTCTTGCCCTGCTCTTCTTTTTACTTCTTTGGCCAGCATCGTCTTCCCCACGCCAGGCATCCCGTGTACCCTTATAATGCTGCTGCTTTGACTTTGCAGTGCTTCCATGATCCTCTCCAGAACATCCTTTCTTGAGCGAAAGCCCACGAAATCTTTAGCAGGGG